TGTGGGGGCGGGGTGCATGTGCGGGACAGGCACCAGCTTCCCGTCGCGGAGGCGACAGCAAGAGCACACGTGCTTGGAGAAGCCTTCAGACAGCTGAGGGTAAAGCCTCTGGGGGCAGGGTGCCTGGGTGCAGGGGAGGACCTGGAGAGAAGCCAGGGCCCACAGGAGGGTGCCTCCCTGGAGGGCCTGCCGAGGACCTGGGGTTCCAGTCCCAGAAAGGTGGGGGCTTGGGGAGGGAGGGGACGACTTCACTGACTGCTGGGTGGGCCCAGGAGGGTCAACACTGGATCGGTGCAGCTTGAGCAGAGACGCTTCTAGATAAACGCTTGAAGGCTGAAGCTCAATCAACAGCAAACACAAGGAAGGATTCTTGACTGCCTGCCTTGATGTCCCTGTCGGCTGCTCTGGGGCACCATTCCCAGCCCTTGCAAGCCCCAATACCCAACAGTGTCCCACTGTGCGGAGACGAGGCCACAGGGTTTGGGGCCAGGAGTGACCCCACTGAGAGCTGCAGTTTCCTGATGCACAGAGGGTCCCAACAGTGGCACCTGGACGGGAGGGCAGGTCTAAGACTCTAAGAGCTGCGTCCAGCCAGGTGGGGTGGCCGTGGTGGGGGAGCTGGTGCCCGGGCTGGCTTCACGGGCTGTGACCTGCACAAGCAGGGGTCTGCTTGGGCTTCATGCTCTGCTGCCGCTGACTTGAAATTATTAATAGCTTTTGAACAAGGGCCCTGAATTTGCATTTTCTGGGCTCAGTAAACTGTATAGTGGGTCCTGCTTGGTGTAATGAACCTCTTTGTGTGGATGGGGGAAAGTCGAAGAGGGAACCGATTCTTGCCTGAGGGCCGCCACAGACGAGGAATCCTGACACCGACAGGGGACCAGGTGTGCAGGGACTTCAAACAGCGCAGAACCTCCACTTCTGCCCGTGACACTTCCTGAGAGGGACTGCTGGGACCACCCCAGTGGCTAAAGTGCCCTGCTCCGTCACAGCACCCCGATGAGATTCTTTCCATGTTGTATGGTGCAGATGACTTACAGAATTCTGTGACTTACTAACAGAAGCTCCATGGGGATGGGGAGTGTGTCGGGCACGGTTCCAGCTCCCATGCCTGGTGCACAGTCCAAACTAAAAAACCAAACCCATCTCTGTGGAGTCCATGCTGACCACAGCGCCCCTAGAGGACAGAGTGGAACTGCACCACAGGGTTCCCAAGGCAGTCAGTCTTCATGGATGGAGACTACCTCATCTTTCTCCCGTGGGGTGGCTGGAAGATTTGAACTGCCAGCCTTTAGCTTAAAGATCCTTTGGTGCATAAAACTGGAAAAATATTTGTTGAAGGAGTTATACTTAACTATACAACAGAATTTTCACCTTTTAATTAATTTGGTAGATGGCTGTGCTCTAACCAGCTCTGGGATGAAACAAAAACCGAAAAACAGAGCCGAGACTGTAGTGGATTCTGACACCCAGTGACCACGTGTTAGAGGGGAATTGCTCCATATGGCTTTCTTGACTGCAATCTTTGAGGAAGTTGGGTGCCAGGCCTTTCCTCCGCAGGACCACTGAGTAGGTTCAAACGACCAGCCTTTAGGTTAGCAGAAGCTTTGGTGACACAATGGTTAAAGCATTCATCTGCTAACCAAAAGGGCAGTGGTTTAAATCTACCCGCTCCTTGGGAGAAAGTTGAGTCTGCTTCCCTAAAGATTGACAGCCTCAGAAACCCTACGGGGCAGTTCTATTCACCACTATCTCGGGGATTCCAACTCACAGCAACCCCCATTGGGTTTCCAAGGCTGTGCATCCTTAAAGAAGTAGATGGCCTCATTTCTTCCCGCAGAGCAGCTGGTGGGTTCAAACCACCACCTTCCGGTTAGCAGCCAAATGCCGTACCCACTATACCACCAGAGCTCCTTTGGCGGCAGTCCTATTCTGCCCTAAATGGTGGCTGAGTTGGTTGATTCCATGGCAGTGGATGGGTTTGCGTTTCAGGTTAGCAGTCCAGAAGGAGCTCTGGTAGCACAGTGCCTAAGGCACTTGACTGCTAACCAGAAGGCTGGCGGTTCAAACCCACCAGCCACTCCTCGGAAGGAAGTTGGGGCAATCTACTTCCGTAGTGATACTGCCTCGGAAACCCAAGGAGTGGTCGCTATGAGTCTGTCCCACTTGACGGCACATAACAACAACAACAACAACAGTCCAGCAGGAACTGTTTGCCCCACCCAGGGACCTAGCCCTGGGACACTCAACACACAAGGTGTCAGAACCCGTTTACACTGAATGCGCTAGGCCCGCTGGGGAAGCGGGACAGGACTTTCCAGTTTAGTGCCGGAATTAGGCAGCACTTAGTAGGTGCTCAGGAAAGGAAGGTCGGAAGAGGAGCGGAGGGGAAAGGGACGTACGGGGTTGAGGAAGACGCGCACAGAAGGAAAGATGAGAGAAAAAAAGAGCCATTAGGCCCACCGGAGGCTCCACCGCCCTCTCCCCACGTGCGCGCCCTCCCCGCCCAGGGCCACGCTGGGCGCGGCCGGGCGGGGCCGGGACTACGCTTCCCGGCGTCCCCCGCGGCCCGGACTCGGGGGGCGGAGCCTGGGCGGGGGCGGGCCCAGTTTGGGGGGCGTGGCCGCTACAAAGCCCTGGGGGCGGG